AAAAATTAAATATTAGACTAATTTCCAGGCGCGATTTTCTTCCTTTGGCTGGAGGGCCCTTCCGATTCTCGGCGGATAGCCAACGAATATACACTATCGACGCGAAAAAGAGCTTCCGATGCGCCATTCGAGGAGATTGTCGGTACGGTATTTAATTTTTTTATTTCCTAAATCTGCCCATCTTTCTCTTATCCCTATTTATTTTCCGTTTTATTTTTTGCAAAAAATTCTTTTCCAGATCGCGCCCTCTGCGAGGTAATCAGTCCTTTAGAATGACTGATGAGAATGAAGTGATAGAAACGGCAGCATGAAAACTGCGGTACTGGACTGTTAGCGGGGGACTTTTAGCAGGGTAGGTAAATTAATTTTTGTTTTTTAGGTTTTTATTATGTTTTTAGAGGTTTTAAATGCTGGCAAGTTCAAAAAAACAGTTAAAATTTTGAAAATTCCAAATTTTTACTTTTTCGTAAAATGTTTTATACATTTGAACAAAAGTCGAAGACGAAAATTTTAGAATAATTTCAGCGAGTTTAAAACTAATATTGTATAAATCACTTTTAAAATTATTTATATTTCGTAGAAGGACCTTCCCAAACGCTCCCCTGCTAACAGAGACCAGTACCGAACACTGCTTGCCATGTTTTTGCAAATCTCTTTTTATTAATATTTAGAAGGCGGCTTTTATTAGAATTCAGATAGACAATCACGGCGAAGGCCCCTTATGCCCTTCCATCGAAAGGTTCAGAGCCCCGGGTTCGATTCCCCCATATAAATACGGAATAGAGAATGAGAGAAGCTTAGAGATAGCCAGTAGAAAATCCCAATATTATTGCATGAGGACGGCCCGGATTTTCATTTTCCTTTTTCTCTTTTTTCCTCGATATCGTTTCGATCGTCATCTTTGGGCATGTGTATTTTTGGGGCTAAGCTTCTGCTTGCGCCAAAGCGAGTCTGAGCCTGAGCTATTTATTCCTGAGCTCGGAGCACAAAGCCTATACCTAAGCTTCGACCTAAGCCGAAGCGTTTTTGTTGAAGCTTAGCCTAAGGTCTTATTTGTCCGTTAAGCCTGAGCACAAACTTCACTCGAAGCCCAAATCAAGGCTAAGACTGAGCAGAAGCTAAGCTGAGGCTAAGCCCCAAGCTGAACTGAAGCAAAGCTGACGCTTAGACTCGGCTTAAGCCTAAGCCAAGCCTCGAGCCCACGCCAAAGCTTGCTGGGTTTCCAAGCTTAACCGAAACTCCATTTTCAGCTGATCGAGCCTATTCGCAATCGACTGCCCGCTGAATACGTTGACGCAAGTCATCGATCATTTTCATAAAGAGGTATGGTTTACGTGCAAGACTTTATATACTTCTTGCGTATTGGTTCAATCCTCCTTAAAGTAGCGTTTTTTCAGACCCTTTGACACGGTTTGATTTTCATAGATCAACTTTTCCGTGAAAAACGAGATTCCTGGGATCTGGCGACGGCCATGTACTACGCCGGAACGTTGTTTACAATGATTGGTATGTTTCAAGAACGATTGGCTGTAAAATCGGGCTTTAAGCACTACTAAAAAATTAACAATCAGCAAAATTTTAGTAAAACCACCGTTTATGTTCAAAGGAGCGCGTTGCGTAGTGTAACGTAGCGCAGCGTACCGTCTGTCCTTACTTCTATCTACCCCTCTCACCCCCCCTCTCACTCTCTCTCGCTCTCTGTCCCTCTCCTCTCACTCTCTCCCTCTCTACTCTCTCTCTCTCTCTCTCTCTCTCTCTCTCTCTCTCTCTCTCTCCGCTCTCTCTCTCCTTTGTTTTCATTTGCGGATCATGTCATAGCCCCCCAGGAGCTCACACATGCCCATCCCCTTCCCTTCTGTCCCCACCCTCTCTCAACTGTCATAAACGCCGGCCACACATGACGCAAGGGCCCATCAAGTTTTTTTGCGGAAAACTCAAAACGAAGCCGAGCTTTTCATTTCGAGACCCGTTAGCTCAGCGGAACAAAGTCATAAAAATCTAAAAGTGCTGGGATAATGAGTAGGCAGTGGTCGAGGAAACCTGAAGGAATATTTCAATAGCCTGCAAAAAACATCACTCGGGATTCCGTATGCAGATGTATCGATTCCGCTTTCCTCGGACGCCACGACACGCAACGCGCGCCACCGGAATACACCGGAAGAATTACGCAATGGAAATTCTGCCCGGCGCGTCGCGTGTGACGGGTGCGGACAGGCTAAAAACTATGGATTCCGTTGCGCATCAATCCGAATTTGTTGCTCCGCGACCCGAAACACGGGCGCCTGTACCGTTTTTGGCGAATTTACGCATTTGATTACGCAATGAAAAATACATCAGACGCCTGTCTGAGTGTCGCAGGCAACTCCGCGAATTTTTCCGGCCGCGACACGCAACGCGCGCCACTGGAATACACCGGATGAATTACGCAATGGAAATTGTGCCCGACGCGTCGCGTGTCGCGGGCGGTTGCTGATACACTATCCTGTTTTTTACGAAAATCTCTGCAAAAACACGTGTCCCCAGAAACGTGCAGAACGGTTTGTGGGAGAAGAAACTCCCGGCAGAGGGCCCACCGTGCATGGCCATCAATCGCCGGAAATGGCGCAGCTGGGGACCCCCGGGCCCACACATAATTTCCCCGCGGCGGCTGATCTGGTGTGAATGGGCGGACAGTTGTCTTTTCGGTTTGAAACGCTTGGGGGACGCTGGGACATTTTCGTCCCAATCATACGGCCCCAATCGTTTTTGGGGGCCAATCGAAAAAAGTGGGGAAAAGTTGGTGAACAAATAGCCCGTTTGACGGATCGGGATGGGGAGGGGGAGGAGGAGGAGGGGGATGATTTACTGGCGCCAAAATACGCGACACTGGTTGCCTCAAAACCGCCGGTTCTGGTTTGTTAGCGGGGGGGGGGGGGGGGGGTATTTTATGGATTTTATTGTCTCCACCAATTTTAAATTAAAAAATAGTGGAAAAAATTTTTCTAAAGAATCGACAATTAAATTTTCGGGCACAGTTTCTAATCCTGGTTCCGATCCCGCCGAAAAAAAAACCCGAAAAATACCAAAAAAGGATGAGGAAAACGTGAGAAAACTGGGAAAATAGGCGTCTGCACCCCGCTAACCCCCTCCCCCTGCTAAGGCACAAGTACCGATTCGCTTCCCTTGAGCATCCAGGGGAGTGCGACTTTTCTGGAGCAATTTAAAATGAATAAAAACGAAGAAAAGTAGATAAATAATTTCTAAAAACGTTTTGATTCCGAAGTTTTGGTAAAAATCGTCCAATTTTCGTCGAAAATCGATATTTTTCTTGTAATTTTTCAATCGAAAAATCTGAAGTTTTAATATTTCGACTCAAAATCGGTATTTTTGAAGGGATTTAATTAAACGACGTGCCAGTTGCTGTTTTATTAAAATTATTTATGGCTTTTTACAGGTTACGGAGACGTAAACTGCGTGACGACCGCGGGCCGGATCCTGACCGTCATCTACTCATGCATCGGTAATTCAAGGAATTCCATTTTTCAACCCCTATCCAGGCATCCCACTTATGCTAATCACGCTCACCGATCTCGGCAAGTTCCTCTACCAGGGCATCAACGGGTGTGTCAAGGTAAGGCGCCCGACTTCAGCAAGTTCACCCCGTTTGCAGAGCGTCGACGATGCGTGGGCCTACCTCGGCATATTCCGGATATTCACCGGAAAGAAGAAGAATCGCGTGGATATTCGGGTAGATGAGGTTGAGGCGGCCGAACGGGGAGAAGCCCAATCGATCACGTCAAATCATTCCGAGATGGGGAGCACCAACTCGGATCGGTAGGTTTTGAAAAGGATTGGTACTGGGCTGTTAGCGGTGGTACAGTACTGTGAAATGCCCCCCCCCCGCTAACAGTCCAGTACCAACAATTTTTATGGGTCTAAAACGCTCGTTTTTCTTTTAGCTTCACCAAGGAGACGATCGACACCGGGTTTGTAGCATTTTGTAGCGGTCTACAAAATTTTAGTTTATAGCCCTATCCCCATTTTTTGCATCCACCCATCCCAATTTCAAGGTGTTGAACCCTTCAAGACATCTTTTACAGCGAAGACGACCTCGATGAACTGCTTGAAGAGGAGGAGAAAATGCCGAGAATGAGCGTGAAGGTATATTGTTATTTTACAAAAAATAAAACAATTTTTCGTCAAAGTTTTCAACTTTTAGGTGGCCCTCGGGATCACGATCGGGTGGATCTTCTTCTGCTCGGCCCTGTTCCCGATGTGGGAAGATTGGACGTACGGCGAGTCGTGCTACTTCATGTTCATCTCCTTCTCCACCATTGGACTTGGCGATATCGCCGTCGCACATAGGGGGTATGTTTGCCAAAAAAATTCGCATTTTTTTTCATCGTTTTTGGTACTGGACTGTTAGCGGGGGGGATGGGAAGGAAGTATTAAAAGAGTAATATAAAGAATAATAATTTTATAAGCAATTTGACGCCGTCTGAAAACAATTTCCCCCCCCCCGTTAACAGCCCAGTACTTTCGTTTCAAACCAACTTTTTACAACCCATTTTTTTAGAAAAATGGTGCTATGCTTCGTTTTCGTGATCGTCGGTCTCTCCCTCGTGTCGATGACCATCAACGTCGTGCAGGTCAGCGCTTCCGGCATATTGCAGATTTAATGAACTTCCAGGTGGCCATCGAGGAGATGTACATGGCCTTCTTGATGAAGCTGATCATGGAGTATCAGGAGAAAATGGCCGCCGGCGGGGATCCAAAGGTCTGTTTTAATTGCTAAAAGGCAAAGCTAATTTTTATAAATAAATATAAAATATCATATAAAATAAATTATATAAAGTAGGGTTTAAACTTCTAAAACTATAACGTTTAACTAAACTTGGTTTAGGGCGCCAGCATGGGCATGATGCGAATGTGGGGCAACAACAAAACCGCCAAACTGCTGATGCCACTGCTAGGGTTTGTTTTATAGACCTTAAACTGCCTATAACCGTAATCCTAATTGTCCTTTTTCTAGAAAAGAAATGAAACGAACGGCGATGGAGAAGGTCGAGGTTGAGGCGCAGAAGAAGGGAATTGAGGTAAGCACTTCACACAAAAAAAAGGATTTTTTTTCTCAAAATACCGACAGTTTTCTAGGATATTCTAAAGAGCCTATGTTCAAAAGAAATATCGAAATCCTAAGACTATTATTAAATTTTTACATTTTGAAATGCCGACATTATCAAAATTCTTTTTCTTTAAAATTCTCGTTTTTATTAATTGCAACGTTTTATCGAACTTCGCATTTGTAGACCTCAATTTTAAATTTAAAATACCTACAAAAAAACTTTGAATCGTAATTTCGATTTTCTGCCATCAATTTAAGCTTGAAAATTCGCTGCTAGAAATCAATTTCGACATTTTTAATTTCAACGTTATGAAATGTCGCTATTCCGAAATTTGCATTCGAGAAATTCAATATTTTGTAATTTAGGCGCGTCGGCGTTTTGAAATTCCACATTTGTAAAACTCGTACATTTCGATATTATGAATACGGCCTTTCATTAGCAATTCAGAAGCCATAACGCTCTTTTTCAGATCCCGCCCATCCTGAAAGACGTCGACCTGGAGACGGGCATGCCGAAAATCCTCCAAATCGCCGAGCAAACACACTCGGTTCGAGATTTTCTTGGGAGCGAAGCTCTAAAAATTATTTAGAAGAAGGGCGAGCCGGACGAGGATATTCCCATGCCGCCAGAGTTGGAGGCAATGGTCGAAAAACATGTATGTATTTGGCAAAAATGATTTTAATCATTTTGCTGCGGTTTCGCTGGCCTTGGCGCCTCCTAAAATCGTTAAGAAACCTTTGAAATTCTGTCGAATTTGACAGAAAAATTGATTAACAGATTGCAATCCTGGAGCGGCAGGCGTCGGAGCGGATGAGCCTACGCTCGCAAAGCGTAAATGTCCGGATTTTCAATTTCAAACCGTTTCCCTGGCGTGGCGTGTACCCTGTGTCTTCATTTGTCAAATCCACCCTCCCAAAATTTCCCCGCGAGAACAATTTCCCCAACCTTTAAAGGGACGCTAAAGCCAAAAAAAAGGTAAAAAACCACTAATTAAATTTGGAAAAGCAGAAAATTATACGAAAACTATGTATTGGTCGTAACTGTGAAGAAGCTTTACCGTCCCTTTGCCAAATATCCCCAAAAACCCCTTTCCCCCGACGCTTTTTTCTCGAAAATACCAGGTTTTTCCTGTTTAGCAACTCGAGGTGGCCGAGCAGAAGTCGTTGGCCATGACTAACTCAATGGCATCGATGGGTGGACTCCTTGGCCATGACGCCGACACACAAACAGAGATCTTGCTTACCTAAGTTTTTGTCGAAAGTGATTTTGTCGAAATTTCTCGAAATTTTATCGGAATTTGTCGAAATTAATTTCGCGATATTTCGTTTTGCCGAAATAACAGGCGGTTGAAATTGATTGCCTTTCTGTCTCGATTTTTCATCTTAAACATTTCGCAAATTTTGACGCGCACTGCAGTTTCCACCAGATGAAATTTCGACAATTTCGACTAGCAAAACGTTTTGAATACATGACACCACCAAAACCTCCCCAATTTTCAGCGAGGATCAAAGCGAACAAACCGAGGAGATCGAGGTCGATGACGATGCCACCCAAACCGAGGGGACAACTACAGAAAAAACGCCATCTACGGTTACCCCGCATTAATTTTCAAACGTACCTGTTCAGGAACGCGAACAACAAACGGATCAGGTGGTTGGCTGCGTGGTTGAAACTCAAACGACCGTCCGACACTATACTGAGGCCGAGACATCTACTCCACAAATTAGAACCTCGGTATGCGAATTACAAAGCTTTAAAAATCATAAAATACCCATTTTTGAACAAAAAGTAAAATTTTTAACCATTTTCAAGTTTTCTAAATACTTTTCCGCCTGAAATCTAGCTAAAGTTCTTTTTAAAAACGTTGAAAAATGCCCTATTAACTTGTCTGGACGTACAGGATTGTCATTTTTTTGATTAACATTCATTAAAACGTCCAAAAACCGGCCAAAATCGGAAATTCTACTTTTTTCACTTTTTCTAAATCATTTTCCACTCCAAAGATCACGAAATTTGACCAAAAATTCATGGCAAAATTTTCCATTACGTTACTATGCCGATCTAGACTTCCCGGACCACCCCCGGTAATGCCAAAGAACCCGCCATACATACACTTATTTAGGAGGAAAACCGCGTGGAGACCAAGGTTCCATTTTCTCGTAGTAATCTCTATTAGCGCAGTTTTTTTGAGGCGTGATTTGTGTGTTTTGTAGCTTTTGCTTGGAGACGCTTGCAGAAATTTGTACATGGCAGAATTTTCCAGGAAAATGATTCTCAAACCCCACGGTCTCAAACGAACGAGCAAGAGATCCAGACGTATATTTACGAGTATGCGGAAGCGGAAACGTCGACGGCGGTCAGCCAAAATCGGCATAATGGACGAAAAACGATTTAGGTCGAAACGAAAAACATTCGAATACAAACGCCGCACCCACAGATTATGGACAAAACGATACAATCTGATGACTTGACGGTAGGCAATAACTTTGTACTAAAAAAAGTGGATAATTTTTGGTCTAAATCGCGTAGGAGCAGAGTTTAGAACGTTAACTTTTTATACAGTGTAACAATCTAGACATTTCTTATCAAAAAAAAAACAGTGAAAAATTAAGTACCATCTTTTTCTTTATGACCCAATTTCCAAGCGTTTTGAGAGTACGCGTTTCCAAGTTTTTTAAGCCGTTTTCAAGTTGTTTTTTAAGTTTTCCAAGCGTAAAAACGTCACAAAATTTTAAGAAAAATCCAAAAATAATATAAACGACCACCCTCTCCGGAATGGCCGATTTCTAGAACTAAAATCTCCTCGAGTTTTAAAATTCAGCTGAAGCTTCTAGGTAATTCTCCTACCTCAAAAATTGTTAAATTTTGTGAAAGCATTCGTAAAATACTTCATAGTAATTCCGGACTTTAAAGGGGCACCGAACTGCCAGAAAATGAGTTACAAAGGCCGTTTTCAGGTAGAAAAACGAAAATTTTCGATGCTTTATTGGTCTCACACGGCTCGTCAGCCCTTACCAAAAACGCACTTTGGGGGGGGGCGGCGCTCTCCCGCGGATACAGGGTTAACTCCCCAAGCGAGCCCCGCGCACTCCCTGGCCCGGTTCCTCTCAGGCAAATCCTCCCATTTTCATTTGAGCACCTGGCTTTTGCTGTCTTAATAGTATCACAAAGCCTCTGGGAGGCAGTAATCCAAATCAAACTAGCGAGTCACTGTTATATTCGGAAAATAGCGTCAGGAAGTGATTTTTGTTTGAAAGGAGCCCAAAACAGTCGCGGATGCGCTATAAAATCAGTCTTTGAGGGCGGCGGGTCAATTTTTAGCTAAATCTCAAAATGGCCATGGAGCTGGTGGCCTTTACTTTAGTAGATTAGGACATTATTCACGAGGGCTTCACGCCTATTTAAAAAATATGGCGGGGAACCTATTTCTAAACGGCAATATTATAATTCAGTAATTCTCGATGCACGCTCTCCTGATCTGATGATACAACTATGTGAAACGGACCCATAAAGTCCGATTATTCGAGTTCATATTATCGCTTTCAAAAATGAGCTTAGCTTTGCAAAAGCTGGGATATTTTAGTCAGATCTAGTACATTTGAACGTCGCGCAACCTACTAGCAATCTTTATTGATGGTATCTATAGCAAGAGGACGAAAGCTCGATGCAAAACGAATTGTTTCGGTACCAGGTAAATATTATAACTCGAATAACTCCTTATTTTTTGAGAACGCTGATATGAACGTCGCCTCGATAGAATTTTTTCTCTATCGATTCGCCGGTTTCCCAAATTTTCGAAATCAAACCGAAAAGCAATGGCAAGAAACCACAAACTTTTGCTTTTTCTCATTATGGCGGCGCCGCGGCACAGGGACCCGTGGCAAAAGGCGCGCCCCGTACTAAAGTGCGCTTTGACGAGCCGTGCTCAGGAGTGTGTTGTTTTCGGTTGTAAAATGCGTAAAATCTCGGAAAACAAAACGCAAAGCTGGATTATCCAAAATAAAATAACCCATTTGCCATTCCAGGAAGGCAAATCCTCATCCCCGTCAAAAATGGCGTCGGCGCGGAAGCGGATACGTCGCGCGCTACGCATCACCACCGCCAACCAAAAGGGACGGCGCAACACGCTCGACAACGCGCCGGCAATGACCGACTGGGTGGTCAGTGCCGTCTTTCGCTTTCTAACACTTGAATTTACCAAAAACCATCCAATTTTAGGAGGACGAGATCGCCGAGGAAGACGTAACCATTTTAAATTTAAACCCTCCAGCAAATTCCCAACTTTCCCCCATGATTTTGCACGCAAAATTTCCCCTTTCCACCCGGAACCCAGCCCTTGAAAAGCCCGTAAAATAACACTTTTATCCCAAGAAATACCGGGGTAAGGCTAAAATCCGAGAATAAAAGTAAATGGAGCAAATTGGTTTGGAGTATGCTTTTCTACAGGAAAAAGCTGTTATAAATTCCAAAGCATGGAATAATCTATGTAAAATGACCAAATCTGGCCGAAAACCTGTTTCTAAGAGGTCTTGAAAC